GGGCAAATTGGGTTACCTCTTCAAAAGTAATAAAAATAAAAGGTAAAAATTAGACAGTTTTAAAGACTCCAAAAGAAAATGAACAGTTTCTTTCTGAAATGGGAGCTGGAAATTTCCTTAGATCTGCCAGTAAACTTATCCCTGAGAATAGAGATGCCAGAACCATCAGAAAGGAAGGTATTTGTGCTGTTCTTATGCAAATCAATCTGTTATAGTTAGAATGCAAAGCAACTGCTAAAAAAAATAAAGGCTGGAGAAGAGGGAAATGAGTCTTTCTGGAAGAATACCTGGAAAACTCGGGGTCCCTGGCTGGCCCCATTTACAGGACGTAGTCCTGATTCTATTAATCCTTCTGATAGGGCCATGTATAATAAATATTCTCAGTAAATTTATCAAAAACCAAGTAGAAGCCATCAGACTCCAGATGATTTGTCAAGAATATCACAGGGTTCCTCTAGAATAAACATAAGGGATTATGTCAATGAAGAGGAGGGAAATAGTGAAGAAATAGAAGCACATATTAATTGCCAAAAGCTTTAACAATGTGATGGTAATTAAGAACTCTGGAGCAGGGCAAGCCTAGATAGAAATGGGGACATGAACAAGAATCTTCCCCTACCCCCGGTACGGTTATCCAGAAGTCTTTTTTTGCCAAAGCTATCTCATTCCTGTATAGAAATCTTTGTTGCCTAAGGCTTTTGCATTCCTGTAACCTTTGCATTTCTACTACCTTTGCAGCCCTCTGTTACCTTACTTAATTACCATGTATATGCTTTGTACATTTTGCTTGCATTCCTCACGAGTATAAAACCCCTGAAAACTTGAACAGGGGGTCTGACTCCTTTGATTCATGGTGTCAGTCCTGCTAGCATCAAATTAAACTCCCTCTCCTCACCTGATTTTAGCTGTTGATCTCTGATTATTTCCGTAACGCCTGAATTCATGAGTCAAACTACCAGATTCTGACTGTCCTACTTACTAGTTTGGGGACCATGAATAACTAACAGTCTCTCCGCATACAACTGTATTCAAAGTTACACAATATGCAAAAGTCAAAACAAATTACTGTCATGAACTTTGGCTTCTAAAATGTATAAAATGAATCTTATACCGTACATCATGTTTTTGATTCATTTATACTCTGAGCCAGACTACCCAAATATGAAGATCACGTCACCATTTTTATTAACTTCTTGTCAAGCTACTTTTTCTTTTCCTGTAAAATGGGAACAGTACCTGCCTCAGTGGTTGTTGTGGAGTAGGTGACTATGCCTAAAAAGTGCTTCAAACAATGCCACCTATGTAGTAAGCATTATTTTGAGGGCAGGATATAATTAAACAATGAATAAAAACATTCCTAACTACCCAGGTATCAAGACATTCTTCTGGAACAGCCCACTGCTTCCTTTTACCACAGTAATTAACATCATTGAAACTGTTGGGTTTTTCTTTTTTTTTCCAAAAATTTTTTTCCACCTATATTCTACAATGATTGAAAGGTAGTTCTTTGCCTGTGAAATATTCTGGCCTCTAAGGACTCCTGTTCTATCTTTGGGCCTTTTCAGTCTTCCTATCCCTGCCTCTCTAAATATTACAGGAAACTCCATATACCACAGATGTCTGAAACCAGGCATTCTGACACTATGAATACTAACATTAAATGAAAATCGTACTGCCACAGATACTTTTTGTTAAAATTTTAGTTTTTATTTTTAATGTGTATGAGTCTCTCTCTCTCTCTCTCTCTCTCTCTCTCCATTGATGCTGAAAATATACACCCATGTCCTGCAATGCCGGGAAAGGTCAAAAGAGAGCATCAATTGGATTCCCCTAGAAACTAGAGTTAAGGACAGCTGTTAGCTGCCATGTGGGTGTTAGAAACTAAATCCATGTCATCTGCAAGAGCAGCTAGTGCTCTTAACAGCTGAGCCATCACTCTAGACCAATTCTTAATCAGTTTCCTACACAATGCAAAAACACCAGCAAGAACAATGTGTGGTTAGTTTTGTCAACTTGACGTAAACTTGACACACTTGGAAAGAGGGAGCCTCAAC